CACAATTTTCAGTGGGGATGTATTTGATTCTCTGATGCCAGCAACCCACTGCTGATAGAATTTTTTTTCAATCTTATGTACATTTGAACTAGATATAATTCTTTATTCTTTCCATTGATTATTTTATCTATATTAGTTTTCACTCTTTCCATAACCCAGCTTTTCTTACAAAAACCTGCTGATTTTCTTCATTTTTCATTGATAACGGGTACCTGCTACCCTGAACGATTAACATGATCTTCCTTGAGAAATTATTAGAGATAATAAGAAAGACAGGCAAAACATATGCTAGATTAATCATTTTATTTCAAAATTTTGAAAGAAAAAGAGAAAAATGCTTCAATTTAAAGACATCTTTTCTGTTTCACAGATGTGGGTCTGATTGACTGGGGTGTGAAATGTAACAGCCAATGGTGTACTTAAGGTAAGACTGTCAGTCCAAATATTCAAGAGGTCAGATAAGCAATGGATATGTGTTCTAAATTTACTAAATTGACCACTTTTTACAAATGTTTCTTTTACTCTATAGGAAAAACCCCTACATAAACAAATACATGGGCGCAGACATTTTGGACACCCAACGTTGCGCGGAGGAGAAAATACTAGCTGGCGCGTGATTGGTCGATAAGAGAAAAGACTTGTTATGTATTTGACAAGTGAAATAAAGTTGATAAAAATTTCATATCAAGACTTGGGTTTCTTTGAGGTATACAGGAGTTACAGGTAAAAATTTGAAGGTAGGGATACACTTTGGTTAGAGATTTTCATTTGGTGTCAAACGCACCTAGTCGTAAACAAATGGAAATTGAAAGTAAAAGTGCAACGGCACGGTATATTTTTTCTGGCAATTTTTGTTTTCCAATATCTTGAACTTTCACGACAAAAAGGTCATTTGCCCGAAATTCAATATATGTATCAGTGAGAGGGGCTAAAGTTTGTATGGAAGTCTATGGGAAAACATTTGGTGGTGTTTGTCCTATAGAAAAGGTATGATTTCATGGATAAAAATTGATTACAGCCAAAAAATCAATCGGTTCCTATTTTTTTTGGCATTGAGATTATATTTTAGTTATTTTTGACTATTTGTTTAAAAATTGGAGGGTTTGGGTAAATTGAGGCTCACAATGGGGACTGCACATAGTAAAAAAATGCCAAAATTTGTGCCCTAGCTCTCATATTTTCAATAAATGTACATGTAAATAATTTTAAATAAATATTTATACCGAAATTTACTGTGAATATTGTAAATAATGCAATATCAATATTTATGGGCATTATCAATACACAAAACACATGAATATCCCCCTCGCAGTTTGAGAAATTTATTTAAATCCATGTATTTTATGAGTGTAAACACTGGAAAAGATTGATTAATCCTCTTTCAAATTTGTGTTAAGCAGAGTTGATTGAATAATTTATAACAAAATTTGACTGCTATTTACTAATTAGGTTACTTTGTTTTTACATAAGGGGCATAATCCAGCAGCAAAGCCAGTTTCAGTCATGTAATCTGTGCTGACTTGAAATAAAAGTTATACTTTTGGTGAAACTTAGAGATTACTAGTAGGAAATTTAATTTAATTTACAGTACAATATATTTTTGCAGAAAATACATTTAAAATGCAATAAATATGCAAAATTATAACTGAAAAAATTATGAAAAAGGTATCTGAATGTCCCTCCACCCTGCCATATCCAATCTTGATATTCTGCTGAAAAGGGGGGGGGGGGGGGTAATTTTGTGCTCTAATCATGCTGTAAAATGAGGGAAATTTTTTAAAATCTGGTTTGTTTGAATAACAAGAGTCATGCTTATCTGCAGTTATTTTTTTTCAATTTCTTTTTTATTTTTTTTAAATAATTATCTGAGTAAATTCTATTTTAACATGATTATTTTAAAGGTATTACATCAAAAATGCTTTTAAAAAATTCAAAAGATGGTGTTAAGAATAAAAAATTATGATACAGGCTACTAGATGCATTTACCAGTATGTTTTAATACGATAAAATGTATTTCAGCGATGCATTCTCAAGAAGGAAGAGATTAATGAACCCTACCCTCTTACAATGAACAACACATGGATACTCTCGGGATGATCTCTTTGCTTTCATTGAGAGTTCCAAGGTATTGTTTTCGTAGAAAATCTAGTTAATCTCTTAATATTTAATTTATTTAGAACTTTTTATAGATTATTAGAAAATAAATTTCCTCAGAACTGCAGTTATTTAAGCACTTTGCTTACAATTGAGCACTTTATTCAGTAAGACAATATGGATTATCTGCCCTTGGCATTTAATCAATTTATTAATTAGGTCAATAATAAGAAATGATATGCAAATAAATATATTTGCCTTTTTTGAGAATGTACATATTTAACATCAAATACATGAAATGTTCATGAAAATTGGCTAAAATGTAGGTCACCCCCCTTCAAAATTACACAATTTTCAGTGGGGATGTATTTGATTCTCTGATGCCAGCAACCCACTGCTGATAGAATTTTTTTTCAATCTTATGTACATTTGAACTAGATATAATTCTTTATTCTTTCCATTGATTATTTTATCTATATTAGTTTTCACTCTTTCCATAACCCAGCTTTTCTTACAAAAACCTGCTGATTTTCTTCATTTTTCATTGATAACGGGTACCTGCTACCCTGAACGATTAACATGATCTTCCTTGAGAAATTATTAGAGATAATAAGAAAGACAGGCAAAACATATGCTAGATTAATCATTTTATTTCAAAATTTTGAAAGAAAAAGAGAAAAATGCTTCAATTTAAAGACATCTTTTCTGTTTCACAGATGTGGGTCTGATTGACTGGGGTGTGAAATGTAACAGCCAATGGTGTACTTAAGGTAAGACTGTCAGTCCAAATATTCAAGAGGTCAGATAAGCAATGGATATGTGTTCTAAATTTACTAAATTGACCACTTTTTACAAATGTTTCTTTTACTCTATAGGAAAAACCCCTACATAAACAAATACATGGGCGCAGACATTTTGGACACCCAACGTTGCGCGGAGGAGAAAATACTAGCTGGCGCGTGATTGGTCGATAAGAGAAAAGACTTGTTATGTATTTGACAAGTGAAATAAAGTTGATAAAAATTTCATATCAAGACTTGGGTTTCTTTGAGGTATACAGGAGTTACAGGTAAAAATTTGAAGGTAGGGATACACTTTGGTTAGAGATTTTCATTTGGTGTCAAACGCACCTAGTCGTAAACAAATGGAAATTGAAAGTAAAAGTGCAACGGCACGGTATATTTTTTCTGGCAATTTTTGTTTTCCAATATCTTGAACTTTCACGACAAAAAGGTCATTTGCCCGAAATTCAATATATGTATCAGTGAGAGGGGCTAAAGTTTGTATGGAAGTCTATGGGAAAACATTTGGTGGTGTTTGTCCTATAGAAAAGGTATGATTTCATGGATAAAAATTGATTACAGCCAAAAAATCAATCGGTTCCTATTTTTTTTGGCATTGAGATTATATTTTAGTTATTTTTGACTATTTGTTTAAAAATTGGAGGGTTTGGGTAAATTGAGGCTCACAATGGGGACTGCACATAGTAAAAAAATGCCAAAATTTGTGCCCTAGCTCTCATATTTTCAATAAATGTACATGTAAATAATTTTAAATAAATATTTATACCGAAATTTACTGTGAATATTGTAAATAATGCAATATCAATATTTATGGGCATTATCAATACACAAAACACATGAATATCCCCCTCGCAGTTTGAGAAATTTATTTAAATCCATGTATTTTATGAGTGTAAACACTGGAAAAGATTGATTAATCCTCTTTCAAATTTGTGTTAATCAGAGTTGATTGAATAATTTATAACAAAATTTGACTGCTATTTACTAATTAGGTTACTTTGTTTTTACATAAGGGGCATAATCCAGCAGCAAAGCCAGTTTCAGTCATGTAATCTGTGCTGACTTGAAATAAAAGTTATACTTTTGGTGAAACTTAGAGATTACTAGTAGGAAATTTAATTTAATTTACAGTACAATATATTTTTGCAGAAAATACATTTAAAATGCAATAAATATGCAAAATTATAACTGAAAAAATTATGAAAAAGGTATCTGAATGTCCCTCCACCCTGCCATATCCAATCTTGATATTCTGCTGAAAAGGGGGGGGGGGGGGTAATTTTGTGCTCTAATCATGCTGTAAAATGAGGGAAATTTTTTAAAATCTGGTTTGTTTGAATAACAAGAGTCATGCTTATCTGCAGTTATTTTTTTTCAATTTCTTTTTTATTTTTTTTAAATAATTATCTGAGTAAATTCTATTTTAACATGATTATTTTAAAGGTATTACATCAAAAATGCTTTTAAAAAATTCAAAAGATGGTGTTAAGAATAAAAAATTATGATACAGGCTACTAGATGCATTTACCAGTATGTTTTAATACGATAAAATGTATTTCAGCGATGCATTCTCAAGAAGGAAGAGATTAATGAACCCTACCCTCTTACAATGAACAACACATGGATACTCTCGGGATGATCTCTTTGCTTTCATTGAGAGTTCCAAGGTATTGTTTTCGTAGAAAATCTAGTTAATCTCTTAATATTTAATTTATTTAGAACTTTTTATAGATTATTAGAAAATAAATTTCCTCAGAACTGCAGTTATTTAAGCACTTTGCTTACAATTGAGCACTTTATTCAGTAAGACAATATGGATTATCTGCCCTTGGCATTTAATCAATTTATTAATTAGGTCAATAATAAGAAATGATATGCAAATAAATATATTTGCCTTTTTTGAGAATGTACATATTTAACATCAAATACATGAAATGTTCATGAAAATTGGCTAAAATGTAGGTCACCCCCCTTCAAAATTACACAATTTTCAGTGGGGATGTATTTGATTCTCTGATGCCAGCAACCCACTGCTGATAGAATTTTTTTTCAATCTTATGTACATTTGAACTAGATATAATTCTTTATTCTTTCCATTGATTATTTTATCTATATTAGTTTTCACTCTTTCCATAACCCAGCTTTTCTTACAAAAACCTGCTGATTTTCTTCATTTTTCATTGATAACGGGTACCTGCTACCCTGAACGATTAACATGATCTTCCTTGAGAAATTATTAGAGATAATAAGAAAGACAGGCAAAACATATGCTAGATTAATCATTTTATTTCAAAATTTTGAAAGAAAAAGAGAAAAATGCTTCAATTTAAAGACATCTTTTCTGTTTCACAGATGTGGGTCTGATTGACTGGGGTGTGAAATGTAACAGCCAATGGTGTACTTAAGGTAAGACTGTCAGTCCAAATATTCAAGAGGTCAGATAAGCAATGGATATGTGTTCTAAATTTACTAAATTGACCACTTTTTACAAATGTTTCTTTTACTCTATAGGAAAAACCCCTACATAAACAAATACATGGGCGCAGACATTTTGGACACCCAACGTTGCGCGGAGGAGAAAATACTAGCTGGCGCGTGATTGGTCGATAAGAGAAAAGACTTGTTATGTATTTGACAAGTGAAATAAAGTTGATAAAAATTTCATATCAAGACTTGGGTTTCTTTGAGGTATACAGGAGTTACAGGTAAAAATTTGAAGGTAGGGATACACTTTGGTTAGAGATTTTCATTTGGTGTCAAACGCACCTAGTCGTAAACAAATGGAAATTGAAAGTAAAAGTGCAACGGCACGGTATATTTTTTCTGGCAATTTTTGTTTTCCAATATCTTGAACTTTCACGACAAAAAGGTCATTTGCCCGAAATTCAATATATGTATCAGTGAGAGGGGCTAAAGTTTGTATGGAAGTCTATGGGAAAACATTTGGTGGTGTTTGTCCTATAGAAAAGGTATGATTTCATGGATAAAAATTGATTACAGCCAAAAAATCAATCGGTTCCTATTTTTTTTGGCATTGAGATTATATTTTAGTTATTTTTGACTATTTGTTTAAAAATTGGAGGGTTTGGGTAAATTGAGGCTCACAATGGGGACTGCACATAGTAAAAAAATGCCAAAATTTGTGCCCTAGCTCTCATATTTTCAATAAATGTACATGTAAATAATTTTAAATAAATATTTATACCGAAATTTACTGTGAATATTGTAAATAATGCAATATCAATATTTATGGGCATTATCAATACACAAAACACATGAATATCCCCCTCGCAGTTTGAGAAATTTATTTAAATCCATGTATTTTATGAGTGTAAACACTGGAAAAGATTGATTAATCCTCTTTCAAATTTGTGTTAATCAGAGTTGATTGAATAATTTATAACAAAATTTGACTGCTATTTACTAATTAGGTTACTTTGTTTTTACATAAGGGGCATAATCCAGCAGCAAAGCCAGTTTCAGTCATGTAATCTGTGCTGACTTGAAATAAAAGTTATACTTTTGGTGAAACTTAGAGATTACTAGTAGGAAATTTAATTTAATTTACAGTACAATATATTTTTGCAGAAAATACATTTAAAATGCAATAAATATGCAAAATTATAACTGAAAAAATTATGAAAAAGGTATCTGAATGTCCCTCCACCCTGCCATATCCAATCTTGATATTCTGCTGAAAAGGGGGGGGGGTAATTTTGTGCTCTAATCATGCTGTAAAATGAGGGAAATTTTTTAAAATCTGGTTTGTTTGAATAACAAGAGTCATGCTTATCTGCAGTTATTTTTTTTCAATTTCTTTTTTATTTTTTTTAAATAATTATCTGAGTAAATTCTATTTTAACATGATTATTTTAAAGGTATTACATCAAAAATGCTTTTAAAAAATTCAAAAGATGGTGTTAAGAATAAAAAATTATGATACAGGCTACTAGATGCATTTACCAGTATGTTTTAATACGATAAAATGTATTTCAGCGATGCATTCTCAAGAAGGAAGAGATTAATGAACCCTACCCTCTTACAATGAACAACACATGGATACTCTCGGGATGATCTCTTTGCTTTCATTGAGAGTTCCAAGGTATTGTTTTCGTAGAAAATCTAGTTAATCTCTTAATATTTAATTTATTTAGAACTTTTTATAGATTATTAGAAAATAAATTTCCTCAGAACTGCAGTTATTTAAGCACTTTGCTTACAATTGAGCACTTTATTCAGTAAGACAATATGGATTATCTGCCCTTGGCATTTAATCAATTTATTAATTAGGTCAATAATAAGAAATGATATGCAAATAAATATATTTGCCTTTTATGAGAATGTACATATTTAACATCAAATACATGAAATGTTCATGAAAATTGGCTAAAATGTAGGTCACCCCCCTTCAAAATTACACAATTTTCAGTGGGGATGTATTTGATTCTCTGATGCCAGCAACCCACTGCTGATAGAATTTTTTTTCAATCTTATGTACATTTGAACTAGATATAATTCTTTATTCTTTCCATTGATTATTTTATCTATATTAGTTTTCACTCTTTCCATAACCCAGCTTTTCTTACAAAAACCTGCTGATTTTCTTCATTTTTCATTGATAACGGGTACCTGCTACCCTGAACGATTAACATGATCTTCCTTGAGAAATTATTAGAGATAATAAGAAAGACAGGCAAAACATATGCTAGATTAATCATTTTATTTCAAAATTTTGAAAGAAAAAGAGAAAAATGCTTCAATTTAAAGACATCTTTTCTGTTTCACAGATGTGGGTCTGATTGACTGGGGTGTGAAATGTAACAGCCAATGGTGTACTTAAGGTAAGACTGTCAGTCCAAATATTCAAGAGGTCAGATAAGCAATGGATATGTGTTCTAAATTTACTAAATTGACCACTTTTTACAAATGTTTCTTTTACTCTATAGGAAAAACCCCTACATAAACAAATACATGGGCGCAGACATTTTGGACACCCAACGTTGCGCGGAGGAGAAAATACTAGCTGGCGCGTGATTGGTCGATAAGAGAAAAGACTTGTTATGTATTTGACAAGTGAAATAAAGTTGATAAAAATTTCATATCAAGACTTGGGTTTCTTTGAGGTATACAGGAGTTACAGGTAAAAATTTGAAGGTAGGGATACACTTTGGTTAGAGATTTTCATTTGGTGTCAAACGCACCTAGTCGTAAACAAATGGAAATTGAAAGTAAAAGTGCAACGGCACGGTATATTTTTTCTGGCAATTTTTGTTTTCCAATATCTTGAACTTTCACGACAAAAAGGTCATTTGCCCGAAATTCAATATATGTATCAGTGAGAGGGGCTAAAGTTTGTATGGAAGTCTATGGGAAAACATTTGGTGGTGTTTGTCCTATTGTACCAGCATATTTTGCTTTTCAGACTTCAATAAATACAACACATTATTAACGTCATTTTTCGGCATGATTGATTTTTCACACCTTGACTACAAATCGACATTAACTGTGCTTTCCTTTTCTCTCTGACTCTATTTTTGCATAAAAGAACAAGTACTCTGGATGCATATTATTTCTCTGTAGTCAGTTTAAACATTTCCTAGGTCTATACTATTTTTTTCAGGGGCAAAACTTTATAGAATGTCGGAATAGGAAACCCCTCCCCCTTTTGACGTCATTTTCAAGGCAATATTTGTTTGGATACTCCATGTAATATTTGCGATAAAATTTCATAGAACTTCCGAAATGAGATAAAAATTCGATATTTTATGGAACAATAGTGCCCCAACACATATCTGAAATAACGTGATATTTGGATTTCAAATGTTTATAACAAAACAGTTTTTCTCAGTTACACTTAGGTCGAAAAAAAACGTCGTTTTTGAGGTTGCGCCGCCTGGACACACCATTGCTTACAAAAACATTACTAATTTATTAAAAAATAAAATTTATGATTTTTGGTTTATTCTGTAGATAGAAAAGATGATGCTTACTAGATATTTTAAAATTCATTGATATACCTACATGTAAAACGGTTTTAATTTTATGGCGCTAGTCCACGAACTTTTTGATACCCCCTCGTATATATATACGAAAGTGAATATGTTCATGATATAAACTCAATACATTAGTTACAATTTCACCTTGGTTATCAAGTAAAGCGGTCAGTCTCGCGAATAACCTTTTGTGTTATATAAATATTTATTAAATGCATATCTATATCATATATTAAAACTTCCCAAGTTTTTTAAATGTGTTGAAATTGTGGATCTGGATACGAGTGAAAATAAATATACAACTGTGGTCGCAATTTTTTATTCATTGGTTTGAAACCTGGAATAAGTGGCCACCTGTCTTATGTGGCCAATTTGTCATTCTCCCACAAGTGGCCTCTTAAAACAGGTTTGGCTGTATTATAATAGTTTCAAAGCATAGACTTACTTATTTCATGCTTTTGATATTTCTCATACGTAACAAAATTAGCTTCCTTCGGTCAAATCACAACAAATGTGACACATACTTTAGGGGGGACAGTAAACGGGCTTTGACTGACCACGTGTTCCGTTGACTACAAATGCTGCGCTGGAAAACAATTATTTAATACGATTGGTCAGTGTTACTGGGGTATTGTTGGATTCTGTTTTTCATATGTAAAGTAGTATTGATTTTAGTCAAATTAAACATATTCAATAAATGATTGATATAGCACTCAAATTGCAAAATTTTTACCACAGTCTATCAAACAAAGTGACACGCTGTTAATGGAATGATAGTACCTTGTGCAACACTACATTTCAGCTGACGCACAGACAATGAATCAGAATTTACACATACTTGGTAGCTAAGAGTTCGCAAGTATGAATCTACCTATTTTTATTCCAAGCCACATATTCAATATTATTTTTGAAGTACTTTTAATAATGTATGAGGGGTGATCAAAGAGTTCATGAACCAATTGAATAACTTTCTTAAAACAAATAAAATTAGTTTTTAATGTTCATTATTTTTTAAAGTAGCCCTTGTTGATTTTTATGCATTAATCTGCCACCGTTCTGCCCATGCACAAAACACATGATCCAGGCAGTCACGTGACATACTCCGAAATATTCTGTTCATGGAAGCTATACCGGTCTTATATTTCTTAGCATGCAAGTAAATTCTTATAACAAGATCAGTCCATATGTCAGAAATGACCAAATCTCGGAAATAGGATGGTTGGATAAGAATATCCTTTCCAAGAAAGAGTATGGTGAGTGGTGACCATCACAACCTGGGCTACAGAACAAACATAATTTTTAAACGCCACCCTCCCTTCACTAAAACAGTCAATCCAATTTATGATCGAGTACTAATCTCTTCATTAACCTTGTACAAATTATAATAAGATACTTTAAAGGAATTTCCAAGTTATTTGTTAAACTTTACAGCTGTTCCTTCCTTGAGTAAGACTGTAACAACCATTTTTTGTCACGGGTCACATTGAATTGACATCATTTTCACATTGTGACGTCACAATGATGGAGAAAACCATTACTTTTTACATGTTATCTATAGAACATGTGCATGACTATAGGTGTGCCAAATTTCATTCTGATCTGAATTGTGGTTTTGTAAATATAGAAATAGTTCGCAAACTTTTTGATCACCCCTGGTATCATGGTATGTACAGTATAAAACGCGGTGTTGAGATTGATTCCTATAAGAGCTTTCACCTCTTGTTTAGCTCTCGTAACCTCACTGAGTGCCAAGTTTAGGTCTAAATTTGAAGCCCTTCAGTGGCATGTGATGATGTTTCTATGTAAGTGAAAAATTCTTGAATGGGACCTTAAACAACACACAATTAATCAATCTCTTCTTTTTACCTACTCTCAAGACTTTGCATGTAATTAGAGTGTAAGTCTGAGGAGAGCAAATCTAAGAATTACTGTGAGCGATAAAATGATATTCTGACTGGCCAATCTCTTGTTTCACTTTCCATGTTCCCTCGGAATATACCTTCCGGTATGTAAGGAAATAATACAATATTTCTGTGAAACCTTGAACTTGTACACATGACCTCAGTGTCATAACACACTCTCAGGCCAACTTCCCACCCCAAACCCCAATGTTGTAAACAATCTTTAAAAAAAAAAGAGCTTCCAATGCTTCTCTGTTACATGGCCAACATTATTGCTTAAAGCTGAAGAAGACTCATAAACAGGGATGTGCCATATTTTTGATATCATTTACAACTGACTGCTTTATTGTCATGGGTATCGATGTGGAATGGCAACCCATGTTCGTGCTGGTTTATCTTGCATTATTCTTTGTTTACATTTAATGTATTCAATGTATAATGAAGGCATTTTGAGGGATTTTAAATAATTTTAAACTGGTTAAAACACATTGCTAGATAACGTTAAAAGTAAAATGAACCAAATTCACTAGACTGAAAACATGTAAGGCGGCGGTCATTTTGCACATTAAAAGTTTTTTAAGAGTTATCTGCCCTTGATGAAAAGAAGAAAATTTTTGATTTCTCATCTGTAAGTAAAATTACCTCCGTCATATTCATCGTTGTGGTGGCCAATTCTAAAATGTTTTTCGTTTTCATGGTGGACATCCATCCATTTTAATGTTGCTGTTTCAATCACAAGGACAGATATGATGAGCTTCAAGAACCTAGCTTCAACGACATATTCTCCCTCTTACACATCTCTGCAAATAACAAATTTTACTCATTTATCTGTGTCAAGAATCATCATATCATTATGATCAGTCATATTAATAGCACATATATGGTATTTATCTACAGTAACACCTCATTATATCAAACACAGGGGGTCATTATAAACACCCTAGAGATATCCAAATAATTCGAGATATCAGGGTTGGGACTTTCACCTCACAATACAGTATATCTTTATGGTATTCATAAGATATATTGATCTTCAAGATATACTGAAGCTCAACAGTATTTTGGCACCTTATTTTAAACAACATATACTAAAACTTGATCTCCTAATCAATGATACTCGATAGACATTTTTATACAATTTGTAACCTTTACTTCACCTGTTTTTTGACTGCACTGTGAAGTTCTTTCTGTTATAAATACGCTTGTCTTTTTTTCCTAATTCAACAAATAAAACAATGCTTTTTTTAAAAATAAATTTATAGGTATGAAAATCAAATGGCTTACCAGTAAATTATGTACAATGTAGACATGTTTATGCCTTGGACTGGCAACCAGAGGTCCTAGGTTCAAATCTACTCTGAGGCATGAACATGTCTCTGGGACAATAACATCCTGTAACAAACAATTTACTAATTCATTGTTTCATAATACTAATAATTTCTTATAAAGAAAACAAAATTTTAAACATTTTAGTAAATTAAACAAGATGTGTTTGTGAAACACTATGCGCCCGGCGTCAACAAAGTTCGAAAAAGCTATTTTTAGTATATAGGTCACAGTCAAGGTCACAAGGTCATTGACCTTGGTGTTGTTTGTAAGAACTTAATTAGTGGGGTATGCATACTAAATATGAAGTCCCTATCTCCTATGGTTCAAAAGTTATGGCAAAAAGTGGAAAAAGCTATTTTTAGCATATAAGTCACAATTAAGGTCACATGGTCATTGATCTTGGTGTTGTTTGAAAGAACTTTATTAGTGGAGTATGCATACTAAATATGAAGTCTCTATCTCTTATGTTTCAAAAGTTATGACAAACAGTTGAAATAGCTATTTTTAGCATATAGGTCTCAATCAAGGTCAATAGGTTATTGACCTTAATGTCATTTGAAGGAACTTTATTAGTGGAGTATGCATACCAAAAATGAATCTCTTATGGTTCAAAAATTTTGGCGAAGGTTAAAGGTGACGACAGACAAATAGACAAACAGACAAGACAAAAACAATGTGCGCACCGAAAAAATTCGGGCGCATAAAAAAACAACAATGCATTTTACCAAAGCAATTTTCTTTTAACTATTTCCTTTGAATTCATTTGATTATTAACAAACAAAACATGTTTAACTTGATCTAACCTTGACAAGTTTGTTGTGGCAGTAGTTCCTTTAAGCCCTCTGAATGGTGGTTGTGGCTTTCTTCAAATGTCTGTATTTTATGAGCTCTAGACCCAGACTGGTTTGGTCTGTTGTATCCTTTGGTATTTGGATCTTGTTTTATAACCTTTATAAAACGCCTGGATAGTCAGAGCTGCTCTTTTAAGGACTAAGAATTTCCTTCTGTCTGACTGTCTTAATCTACAAGCTCTGTAAGTCTTCTGACACACAAGGACTGTTCGTCTGAGTTTTGTGTACGTTTTGCGTTGTTTTCTGCCTTTGTACCATGCCTGAATTCTCAAAATCAGCCACTCAGGAATGGTTGCTGCCTGGTCGTGTTTT